ATTTATTAAATTATATTATTATTGTTTAATTGTTATTTATTTTTGCATGTTATTAATATTTTGCAATTGCATTTATATTGCTATCCTTTTTTTTACTTATTTTCTTATTTTATTTCATTTTTGCACGTTCTCTACTGCCTCAATCCAAGCACACTCTCGGTAGTGTGCAGATAACAACATGAAAACAATTGCAGCAGCAGGAGGAGGAGGAGGAGGAGGAGGATCATCCCCTAATCATACAAAACCCACACAAGTTAACCCCAGTGCTGGGCTTCACATTGAGCAATCACCAAATGCCTTCCAGAAGCTGTCAAAAACTGGGAAGCATTTACAGCTGGGGAGGGAAACTCAGGGTCGCGGTGGGGGGGGGTGTCAAAGAAGTCAGGATGGCAGACCCGCCCACCTGATCTAAGCCCCGTGCCTTTTTAAGCGCATTGCAATGAGATAAAGGGTGTGGGGCTTCAATCACACAAACACGGCTGCCATCTTGACCCTTTTGACCTCTCAGATGCCCCGGGGCAATCTCTTCCAAAGGAAAGGAAGCTGCCACAGAAAGCACCCACCATTATAACCCCCCCCCCCAATGAGAGAAGGAGACTGCCAGCCTCTCTGACCTTGAAAACCTTTGGGGAGGGACACAGAAAGAGGACTGATGTCTGTAGTGGGAGCATCTACTTCAGATAGGCTGCCATGCAAAGTGGAAGTTCTGCTGAGCGGATTGCTCTGAAAGGAGAAACAGGCTGAGATCACCCCCTTCGGTTCCTGATCGTGGGCCCCTTGAAACCTACAGAAGGGCAGATGCAACCAACAATTAACACCCCTCGTTGGCAGGCCACGGGCTTTGGCATCCCAGGACGGTGGAATCGTGGCTCCCTGGAATGCCATCAGCTGGCGCGAGTCTGGCCGAAGGAAGGCTGGAATGGGTTTGGCTGCAACAAGGAGCGGGTTTGCTGTTCCTGGTGCTTGGTGGCTTCCTTGGAGATGTCTCATGGCCAACTAGGGAACATCATCAGGGCGAGTCACGAGCGGCTTTCCCAACTCCTTCCGAAAAGGAAGAACAAAAGCGATCCAGCTGTTCCCAGAGCAGAGGTTGTGTAAGTGGTGGAAACGGCATTCTTGGGAATTATTCTAGGAACGTGGCTTCTACCGGAACGAGCCGGGAAGGAACCATGGGACCTGGAAGGAGGAGACGAAGAACCCACCTAGACTGACCTGTGGGGCCTTCAGCCTGGCCTGACCCAACTGGGAACTTCATCCAGGCGAGGTGGGAACGCCAACAGTCAAAATAATGGGAATCCTGGATACAGCCATGCCAAGACCTCCAGAACATTGCAGGTGGGGCTAAACCAGTGTGGTAGAAACTTGGCAACTTGAAGATGGGTGGACTTCAGTTCCCCGAATTGCAACTTGAAGATGGGTGGACTTCAGTTCCCCGAATTCCCCAGC